TGCGGTGATCTTGGAGCCCAAATAAATGAAGTCTGTTACTGCTTCCATTTCTACCCCTTCTATTTGCCAGGAATAGTTCCCATTTAGTGACCACAATTGGGACCGGCAATTTGGTCGTTAAGCAAAGCAGTCACTAAGTGAAACATAATTTTATGGTTTTACTTCAGCTTTCCTTTCCTCTACAGACCTGCGAAGGTTGTAAATAAGAGGATTAGTTGCAAAGTTACTTTTTCATCACCATGGTAACAGCAGACGGTCTTACTTGGGGGTTAATATACAGAACAACTCCATTTCTTTTTTTAGGTCCAGCTGACATACATTCTTCACCTAAATTCTTATAAATCAAATATTTTATATCCTTTTTCCTAATATGAGTCTCTTGTAGACAAATTATATCTTGTTTTAATTTTTTTAAATAGTGAAAAAAAATTCTCTCATGGGGAGCATTTGTTAGATTTGTTGGGGTGGAAGTTAAATTACATGGGGCTAAGACTATGCTATTGGGAATTTATGCCCCAAATGCGGACAAAGTGACTTTTTATAAACAACTTATGGAGAGATTAATAAGCTTATCTTATGAAAATTGGGTGTTTGATGGGAGATTGGAGTGGAGTAATCTACCCACAGCTAAACAGAACATCAGAGAAAAATATTAAAATCACTCAGGGTAAATTACCAAATGCTTTTTTTGATTTGATGGACAGTTTAGGGTTAGCGAATGCATGGAGATAGAAAAATGGTAATTCTAGAGAATACACTTTTCAGAAAGACATAGATCCTTTTCAAGAATAGATATGATCTGGATCTCAAAGAATTTGGCTGCTAAGATCTCTAAAGCAGATATTCTACTTAATAAATAGATCCTTCACTGATTAGAGAATCGTGCAACTGACTGTTTCCATAATGTTCTCCTGAATCTTTATCGATCTTGGAACCCAATATTACAGATGTTGCAAGATTAAAAAACGGCCACAAAGTATCCAAAATGTGGAGACTTCTCCAACCCGGTTCCTGTTTTCAAGCATTGTTGCTCATGGTATGGATCATGTGGTCCCCTATGTTTTGGCATAAGGGCATCTGTGACCCACATGGGTGGGATGGCTTACCCATTACTATATGTGTGCCACTGTGGGTGTGACAAATGCAAAAGTGCTGTTGGTCAAGAAGTCTGGTGGAGGCCAAGGTAGGTATCCATGAGCACATCGGTGCCCACAGGCACCTCATTCAAGACCTCAGTTCCACTGTTATCATTTTGACAATCCTTGACACAGCACAAGATTTAACTGCAATGCAGTTCTATGTGAAGAGCTGCTGTATCAGGTCCAGGAACCCCAAATCAGGGCCAAGTTCCCCTGTGAGGAGATCCACCAGAAATGCAGGAAGAAGAGTTTTGTTGCACTTCCCGAAGAGAACCAATGTCAAACCTGTGAGTGAGAGAGCTAATCTGTGCCGTTCCAGATATTGATGAGCTACAACTTCCAGCATCCTTGGGTGCCTTGGTCAAGGAGGTATTCATAGTTTTAATTCAGCAACATCTGGAAAGCCATAGGTTGCCTATTACTGTGTGTGATGTATCTAGGAGATGAAATAAAGTCTTTCTGTTAAGTCTTTGTCCAAGAGACAGCAGGAATGAGATACAGGAGATTTGTCCAAAGATAAATTATGATCCTGTTTTGTGGATTATCATTTTTTGCTAGGAACCAGCCTCAAAGGTAGATAAAGATTTCACCCTGGAGAAGGAAGAGCTTAGGACCACAGTGGTACCACCAGTTGCCAGGAGTCAGAAGAGATGGACTTGGACTAATTATATTTTCTTTTTATATGGTCTTTATTCTGAAGGGATGTTAGTTGTATAAATATGACATTATTGAATCCAGACAGTTGACGGAGATAAATTAACACATAAGCACTTGACTGAAGAGCAAAACAGAGTTACAATGAGTCCATTCTTTGGCTTAACATTATGGAGTGAAATGCAAAGTGATGTCATGGTCAACGGCTTCTCTTCACAACCCAACTGATCCCAGTGATCCAGTAGAGGACAGGACAGAGAGCAGGCAGAGAAAAAATCAGCTTCTCCAACTACTTCTTAACAGAAACATACAAATCAGCAACTGTTGTGGAAGTCAGTGCCATGAAGGGCATCTTCATGACAGATGGTGAGGGTGTGAGCCATGCCATCCAAAATGGTAATCATGCCTTTAGGATTGGT